TCTCGCGCTCTTTCAGATAGACCCGATGTTACGACAGTGTGCACATGTGTGGTAAACCTGGACATAATCGCCGTACGTGCAAACAACCAGTCCCGTAGCACTACTCTGTTTCTACTTTCTTTTTATGTTTTTTGTACTTTGTTGACATGTACTTCGTACTATTTATCCATTTGTATGTACCATGATATGACTGTTTTAGTTACAATAGAGCGCACTGTTTTAGTTACAATAGTATTGTTGTTACGTTGATATGGTATAACGTACAACATAATATGGTTCACAGAAGAATAATAAATGAATCGATTTGAATTTTATGACCGTTACAATAATATAGCCGTTATTTTTGTCGTCAGAACTTATAAAAAGCACGTAATTATGTTCATTTGCTTCTCATTCATGGCTTCTTCCAGTAGCAACTCTCAAAAGAGTAGCTTAAAATATAAAAAAGACAACTGCAAGCGTCGTGAGTGTGGGACAAAAACAATAATCATGGTTTCGGAGACAAGTTTGAATCCAGGGAGGCTATTTTATTGTTGCCCAGACCATGGCTATTCTCATTGGTGTGAGCCATTTGAAATTGGGCAAACTTTCTCCCACAACTATTCTCGATATGAAGAAAGTGAAGCTACGAGTGGATCGACGAACCAAGTTCATTGCGAAAGTAAAGTGAAGATTTCCAGAGATGAAGCGGGAGTAATTCAAAGTTTGATAGTGTTAAACCTAGTAATATTTGCAGTTTACATGATTTGTCAAACCTATGTATTGTTTCTTAACTAATCACCGTAACAATACAAGTTAAAAGTTAGTGTTGTGTATTGTAGCTCGTTAATCGTATTGTAATGTCAATGTGTAAGTACTTTGGGTACTTACAAATAAATTAACTCTATCGATGAATCAATTGTTGTTGTTCGTAAGAAATGTACTCATACAATATAGTGATAGTTATTGTTCTTCAACTGTTCTGTATATCATATTCACAACTCACGCATGGATCGTACAATATCTACGTATTATAGTTCCCACGATATAGTCCTTATGTACTGTGGTACCCTTGTTATAGTACC